TAATAAGGAGCTCTATTCATGCACAGATAATTAATCAATGACATACTTTTTATTGACAATAAGTTCAAGTGTTTGATAAACAAGAGCATGAAGATACTCAACCTTACGACTGTACACACAAGCTGAGCCTTGAATAACAAGAGCTGCTTCAGCAAAATTCAAATTAGCCTTTCCTCCTTCAAATGCAATAGTGATCTCTTCAAGCTAAAAGAGAAAACATGGAGAAGTGTATGAGAAAATAAAATGGTGGTAGTGATAAACTCCAAGGTGATGGCTCCCCCTCTCTCTCACTTCTAATAAATATTCTTCAAGTTCTGAGGCTACATCAACGTCCCAGTTCTTTGCAAGGTCGCGTATCGGCTTCAGGAGATGACCAAAACGAGATATTATGTCTCTCTCAGCCATTTAATATTGAAGGGAGGGGCTTGAAGAGGAGTGGTCACTGCACGTGCTCCCACGTGGGTTTGATCACCAGCACAAAGCATAGATATTATACACGGAACCGTGTATAATGAATATCCGTGTATAATGTCTATGTATAATATCCGTGTATAATATCTCTGGTTTGATAGAGGGGCGAGACAATGATTTGAGATAATCCTGGTATTGTTCATTGAACAATACCAGGGTCATCTCAAATAATGTTCAGAATCGCCCTTCTTTTAGTTTGGCCAGACTACCCCTCTTTAGATATACTAAATTCAAAATGAAAGCTCCTTTTTGCTGCATACTTGTTGCTCTTCTGCTAGCAGGAATGGGAAATCATGCTGCTGATGCTACCACAGCTCAGTGGACTAAACTGTATGGAACAATGTCTCAAGTTTATGCTAATAGTGTCAGTCTTTGGTCTATTGATGCTCAACTCAAAGCTTACTACTGTCCCCGGCCTTGCACTGGTAATTGGGCCCATGTTGGTAGTAGCATGGTTAATATTGAAGTTGATGCATACTATACATGGAGTATTGGAGCTGATGGATACCTTTATAAAAAAGCAATGCAAAATTCTGGAGGATGGTTTAAACATACGTATTGGCCTCGTGATATGATAGATATTGCTTCAACGAGAGACTCGTATATGTGGTTTTTACATGAAGATAAAAGTATTTCATGGATAAAGCATTATAACCCAACTGTACACAAGGTTACAGGAAAGTTTGACCAAATTGATGCCAACTCACAACATGTATATGCTCTCAATAAAACAACCAATGTCATTTCTTTTCGTCCAGTACATGGAAGGGGTCAATGGCGTACCATCCCAGGGCAGATGAAGTATGTAACAGCTGGTACTCATGAGATATTTGCCATTGGAGTAGATGATGAGCTGTATCGTTGCACTATACCCTGTGCTGGTATATGGGAACAAATGGGATCCCCAGCATTGCCAGCATCTAATGTGGTTCAGCTTGATGCTACTATTGATGCATTGTTTGCTGTCACTAGTGCAGGAGGAATATACCGTCATGAACTACCACTTTGAGCATAGATACTATGCTTTGAAAAAGTGTAGT